GTTATTATATTATGAAGTTGTGTATGAATTGGTCGAAGACACCAAGGTCGGTCTATTAGCAAGCATATGAAATCTCGTTTCCAATACTTACGAGAACGAGTTGAAGACAAGGAGATCAAAATCGAGCATGTTAGTTGAAAGGAACAACGAACTAACATTTTGATAAAGGTGTTAGCTAAGATAAATTTTGTTGAAATGTGCAAGCTGCTAGGAGTTGAACACCTCACAATTTCCATTTGGAAATTAGGGGGTGATCATTACTAATTTCTTATTATACCCTTTTATACACAATAAGACATAGGAATAATCATTCCTTGGGAAACAAGGAGTCTTAAGAAGTTTCTTAGGACTCAAGAAAATATAGTTTTTCTTAGGGATTAAGCAAGTCATTTATATGGCAAGTTGTAATCATGTAGGATTCTAGTTAGCCATGTATATTTACTTGAATACAATCAAGTAGGATGATATCAATTTTAGAGACACTAAGAGACGAGAGATTATAATCCAATTTTGAGTTACAATAATAATTTATTCCTTTCAATTTTTGTGTTCTTAATTTTTCTGCATATCAATTGTCTTTCAAAGACAAGAAGATGATACCTTAAAATGGTTCAATTAATCTAGTTTAGAAAACCTATCATGAATGGTTGGATGGACCCCATCACTACCCAATTAATGAGGTTAAACAACCAAACAACTAACAAGATTTAATTGATCATTATTGGAATTCATGAGACTATTTGACTTACTAGATACAATTTAATAAACCATGTCAAATAAACTATTATGACTACCTTCATTTTACACACCATCACATGAGCTCCCACCCATACCTATTTTAAAAGCACACATTAGGTCATAAGATTTCACATCTATAAGGAAAACATAGTTTGAATTAACAGTACTTTATAACTTTTTTTAATGCTAGATGAACCAACTAAAACACACTTATCTGACCTATTCAGTCTAGTAGCAAAACAAAGACTAACAAACACTCTAAAAAAATTAGGGTGAGGTAAACCATATTGAAATAGTAATGACCTAGCTACATTAATCAAATATATATGCTTTCTTTCCACAATTCCATTTTTTGTGCAGTATAAACGCAAGGCATTTGATGTATAACAACATTTTGTTCAAAAAATTATTAGATCTAAAAATTTAGCGGGTTTAGGAAACAGAAGTTTCAACATATGAGAAAATATTACTAAATTATAAATTAATGAATCTTTACTTATAAGAAAATAAATCCAAATTTCCCTAGAAAACAACCCTTAATAGTAAGGAAGAATATGAATCCAGATTTAGTAGGTACTCTATGTGGACACCATACATTTAAATGGGCAAGATCACCTAGACTACACAATTTGTGATCAATCAACAAAAACGATTCAAGTGTTTGTCTGGATTTATGAAAAATATCACATGGAAGAGAAGAATTCTTATTAAATCCCAAAATCTAGAAGGTGTAAGACTTAATTAGAGGGATAACCAAGTCTGTGATGTCAGACAAACATCGAAAAATACAATTTATAAACCCCACCAATTTAGAAATATGTTCACTTGTAAGGTTATTAGACTCTCTTATTAGAGACATTTGAACTAGTGCGACCAGAAGTAACATTATAGAAGCAATTTTCCTTTGCAAATCAATATCATTTATGGAGTTAAACACTTTAGGAAACCAGTTAGCTTTTAAATCTTACAACATTATTTTCTTTTATGTTATAATGTTTACACAATAATTCGTATTTTCGCCACCATCCTTTTAACATTAGCTACTTTGCAATAAAAACAATGTTTGATTTTTTTCCAACTTTTCAAGACGATGAGTTTTCCTTTACAAGACTTTTATCTTGAAATTATAACAAAACAACTTAAACAAAAGGTAGACATTCTTGCATAAGAATGCTACTTGTGAACCAAATATAAAACTAAATTAGATCCACTAAAAACTACATTAGTATTATTTGATTTGAAAAAAAATTGTTTATTCCTTGATGCAAGACAAGTACACTCATTAAGACTAGATAATGGTTAAAAATTCTTCCATAAACTATGAAGGCTATTGAAGTAATTTGAAACACTATTAGTCTTGTGAGAGTGCACATAAAATTTCTGCTAGACATTACAAATTAATGACCCATTAATTTGTTCATAGGTTTGTTTTCATTAAAGTCACAAATTAGGAGATACTTTAGAAAACACGTAAACATATACAATACTGTAATCAATAGATAAAATTAACCACTTAACAAATAACACATTATCCCTACCATATTTAACACCTTTGGTCTCATCCTAAGGGGGATGAGTATGACTATCATTAACAACCCGTAATTTATTCCTAATTGTAAATGTTAGGAAATGAGACGACACTTGACAAGAATCAAAACATATATGGTACTACTTGCCAAGCTCGAATGACCATTAATAAGAAGTAATTCAGATAACACACACAACCAAATGTACAAAAAGACATAATATTTATGTGGTTTGGTCAATATAACCTACATCTATGGCCATTAGGGAACATTCTTATGTACCGGGTTCACCAATAGAGGTTACAAGCACATCCCAACAGAGATTCTCTTACTCACTAGAATTCAAGACAAAAACAAATGATTAGCCAACATTGCTATTTATAGACAAGGTATCAGACCTAAAACCCTAATGGGCCAAGCCTATTAATCCATATACCCATGAAAGGTATTAACTAATCACAATTCTCCATGCATATATTTCTAGAACCTTGACACTGGAGATACAATGCTTGAGAATCAACATAACAAATGATAGTGCATCATAAACCAAGATGGCTCATTCAGAGTGATCATGGTGCATCATGATTGAGCATACTTCATCATGGTGGCACATCCCCCAACATAATTACATATAATGTCATTTGGGGCATCCACCGCACCTTCAACTTTTAAGAATCTATGAATAATCTTGAGCATCCTAGTGTATCTCATAACCTAAGTGGCACATCAAGGGACAACATGGTGCATCAGCAACATGTGTGGAGCATCAAATCACCTAATGGTGTATCATGATGCACAAGTAGTGCATCATGATCATTAGTGGCGTATTCATGCCTCAACAGTACATCCATAACACATCAATATTTCATAGTACACCAATACACACTAGAGTGGTGTACCTTGATCCCTAGATGGCACATCTATAATGGAAGTGTCACATCTAGTTCCAAGGTGGCACATCCACTTTCAAGATGACGCATCCAAATTCCTATATGTAACATCCTCTTCCAAATGGAACCACCTTGCTTCATGGTACATGAAGGATGTACCATTCCCTTCTTAGGTGCTCCAATCCCTTTTTAGATGTTCCATTCCCTTCTCGGGTGCTCAATGTTCATTCAAGTGCTCCACTGAACTCAAAATGATCCATTGAAACTAGATGCTCTCATTGCTCAAATCGCATTTAATAGTAAAAGCATATACTATAGTAGTAGACGCATATTAGTGACTAGAGGTACCAATTAACTTAGAACTAATTATAGTAATGCTACTAATATCATTTGTGTGTAAGCAAATGAAATCATCTAGATAAAAAAAAATTACACAAATTAATAACAAGAACATCAACAATGGATGCACCAGATGCAAACACAATACATGAAGCAATCAAGCAATAAATAACAACAAATAGATCTAACAATTAATGTTCATAATGAGGGAACAACTAAGCTTAGATTCTTACTAATTAAGAAAGGATTAAGAGTAATTTTTAACAAACAGAAGAAAAAAAATACAAATTATTAGAACTATGATTCCAACTTATTTATGCATCTGCCTCTCCCTAAGAAGAATCTAAACCAATTTGAGGTTAGTAAAAAAGTACAGTTATGTATATTGGAACAACTAAGAAACAAAGCACTTGGGTTTGAGGTTAGTAAAAAACCAATGTTTTTAAAAACCCAGGTCGACCCGGCCGGTTCAACCGGTTGGACCGTGATCCCGGATAGAATGCGAGTCAATTGAGATCGGTTTTCGTAAAAATACAAACCGGATCGAACCGGCCGGGTTTTCTTTAAAACGCGGTTCGACCGCTTATGTCGAACCGGGTTGACCCGTTTTAATAGGGTTTGGATAGTTGGATACAAGTAGCGAACGCCAAAACAACGAGCCGTTTGCGGTTTCTTCAATATTTTTTAAATTTTAAACTTTGTAGATATTAAATTATTGGTTTTATATATTTATGCATTATGCATGAAAGTAAAAATATATAAAAATAGAAAAATACCATAAACCAGGTTGACCTGGCGGTTCAACCGGTTGACCCGTGAACCGGTCATTACACCGGGTCAACTAAAAACCCGGGTTTTAAAAGATTGTAAAAAACGAAACCATTTTAGTTGTGGTGACTTGGTAAGATATGGTGGCTAACTGATTGACTCATGTTCAAATCTCGGCAGTATTCTGCCCCAGTAGCCATAAAAGTCCGCGTGTAGTGACTCTAGGTCATGATGCATAGCCTCATGTTTGCAGCGGAAGATTAGTTGTATGAAAGCTGATCTATAAACTCTTGTTAAAGAATTTCCATTTCCTTAAAGAAACGAATTTTTTTTAGGGTTTTACTCTATGAACTACCATAGGAGTCATGAGAATATATGAAGACTAAACCCAAATTTATTAGTGATGTAGCATCAAAGACAACATAAACAAACATTAAATACTAAGCATCAACTAGGTTAACACTTCGAATCAAACATTGACCTACACCTTCATATTTGCATAAAACGAGCTGCAACATTTGGTCTTTACGCAACTTGACACTATAACCACTTTATGTATATTTCTTTCGAAATTAGTTTTCAATTAACTAATTATTTTCCTAATTCAACTGGAGGATAAAAATATGTTCGATTTCTCAATAATAATTCTTATTTTTATTTTTTAGTTTTTAATTTGAATTTAACTTCAAGTTTACTTGTATAGCTAATTGCCTTGTACATCAGCGGAACCATCAACACA